TGGTGGCTTATTTATATTAGACTTACATATTTGAAACAGTGTTGGTTTTCAAAGTAGCACTGAAAACTCTTTGCAGTTCCCTTCAGTCTTCCCCCTCAGACTTGGCAATATTTGGAGTTTTTGTTTCTGAGCAATAACTGCTGGAATCACATGAATCTGATGCGACTTTTCTTTAAAAGCTTATAGTTCTCATATTAGTGTTTTTAAACCTTTATTCTGAATTTTGAAGGCTAAAATCTGACAGCTGAAGTTCAGTATTAGTCTCTTGAAATAAGCCACGTAATGCTATGTGTAAGTACCATTATGTAAGTATGCTGAATTTTATGCCATTCCTCATTTCATATGTTTGAGTCTGATAATGTGACTGCAAGTGTCTTGCAGGGAAGCAGTCCTGTTATCCTATTCTCCAGTTAAAATAGCACGTTTCCCTATGCCCTGCCTGTTGTGTGGGAAAGGATTACATGCTGCTGCTTTTGCATTTCGTAGCATTAAGCTGTAACATCAGAAGCCTCTTTGATACTCTTTGATCCAGAAAGCACCTATGCTTGGCTGAGCTTCTGGGTAACTTTACTGCCCTCTTTCCTCATAAATTTCGGGAGAAGTGTAATAAGTACAGTTTTGCTGAACTTCCATTCTAGCAACAAAAGCATGAGGTCCTACCATGGATAAATTTATCAGAAAAGAGTATTTTTGTAAGCTAAAGTGGTCTTTTCAACCAGTGTTCCATTTGCTGTGTTAAGCTGTAGTAAATGCAAAAATAAACAAGCTAAAGCAGTTACTTTTAGACTGGCAACCAGATAAACTGACTGTTGGTGTCCTGTTACGCAACAAAAAGCTAGCAGTAGGAATAATGGGTAGCTGTTTCACTGCAACCTGATGACACAGACTTTGAAAAGGTCTGAACACTGCTCCATTTAGCTGTGAGGTCTCTTTATGAAATGTAGTGCCCTCTGCTTTCATTGTCGTAGCCCGATCAGATCTCTGCTCCAATTGCTTGTACACTTACGCAATGGCTGTTGTTGTTGTAGTAGAATAATGCTTTGAGACGATGTGCGCGCTGTAGCCTTACTGTACCAGCATTGAAATGTTTCAGGGACAAAATAAAATCCAGTATTCTCTTTGGGAGAGGTGCACTTACTATCCTTTAGGATCTTCTTACCACACAGAGCTGGTGTGTTAGTAAGAAATTGAGAACAGGTATTTTTCTTTCAGTTGCATTGGCAATTAGGAAATAATGTACATAATCTTGTGTCTATTCTGAAAAGGCATTGTTGAAGGACTCTGAGAAAAAAAATAGGCCATCAGGCTGGCTGTTTGCATTGTCAGCCTGAATGACCAGAAGAATTGGATTACTTATGTGACACCAAGGGAGCACTGAACTCTGTGTGGTGCTTGCTTTAGGGACAATTCAGGACTCTGCATGTAAATATTACCTGCCAGCCAACTAAAACCTGAGATCAACTAGAGTCTTAAAGATGTCTGTAGGAAAATCTTAGTTCAGTTGTTCACTTGATGATTAGCCTGCTGTGCTTTATAGAAGTTGACAAGAAATTAGAGCCAAAACCAGAATTCACACCTCTAATAAATGAGGTCTGAGCAGTTGCCAGGTGGCAGTTTCGGATAGGAGGCCTAGCGGGTTTTGCGTATGTTCTGGAGTTGTGTCTGATTATTGCTCTTGCAGCTCATGCATGCTGTGTCCTATGTGTGTGTCAGTTTTCACCCAGCCCATGCTAGAATCAAGTCCTTGCAGTTAAGATGGATGAATGATCCTGCAAGCCAATTTGACTGGAAGGGTGCTGGGGGAATAGATATATTAGATGCACTTAACTAATATGGCAGCAATGGATCAAATCATCAGACTACTTTATTGAAAAGGAAAGCACAAACATGCTCAAGATAGTAGCTACCTATTGTCACATTTCAGTATGTATGTCAATACTCTTACCGGTTGTTTGTTTTATTTTATAGCGTTTCTAGAGCAATTACTGCCATGGTATGGCACAGTTTAACCCTAACCAAAATAGAAAGACAGGCCAGTGATTCCTTTCCCCTCACATTCTCTTGCCAATGAATTCAAGTATGGTAGTACTATATGGACAGTCTGTTATTGCGCAGTCAGAAAGGTGAAATGGTTTGAGATAATTGGTAAGTGTCACTTTATAAATAGGTTATTGATCTAGGTGCTTTAGTGCCTTCTGTTCCAGGTTGGTCAATACTGTCCTGATTTGAACATAACTGGATGAGAAGTGCTGCTTGCACTGTTCCAAGGAGGCTGGGAATATATATGAAGTTAATGTAGAAATCTTATTCAGCACTTTTTCCTCAAGCATTCTAGCAACTTGTGATTTTTTATTTTTTATTTTTTTTTTTTAAAAAAAGCTAATGATAATGAGCAATGTTTTTTTTCCTCGTGTGCTCTATAAGGTCATCTAGCTCCCTTAGGGGTTCAAATGAAAGCAATGAGAAAGAAAGATCAAAGTTGGAAAAGCTCAAAGCAGCATTGTTTCCAGCATTAAGTCAGGTTGGCTGCAGCTCTGTCTGGTTGAGTCTTGAAAATCTCCGAGGATGGAGATTGCATAGCCTCTGAGTGACCTGTTCCAGAGCTGCTCCCCTCTCTGACACACAAGCCCCTAGCATAAGGGACAGGTTGTTTTGGATCTCTGCCTTGCACCAGCCTGCAATTTCTAGTTTCCAGTGTAGTCATCTGACCAACTCCCCCCCCCCCCCCCCCCCCCACCCCCTCCGGGACCAGCAGGCATTTTACTTTGCAAAATGATATGCATTAAGCACAAATTTGTGAGTAATTAAATTATCTTGACTTCAGCTCAAAAGAGAATAGTTCAATAGAAAATTATACTGCTTTATAAAATGCACTGTCCTGTTCTTATATCAGTCAGGTCATCCTCTAGAGTTCAAGAGCTTTCCTTGCCTAACTGTAAATAAAAACACTTTTGCCTATTTGATCTAGAAATAGTCAATATGAGGAAGCATTCTCTTTCACTCTACCTTATTTTGAAATCCTTTCCTGTATACCATTGCACTTTCTCCTGCTGTTAGTCTAATGCAAAATATATGAAACAGCATCTTGAAGTAGTCATAAGAACATGAAATTGCTAAATACTGGAGCATTTCCTAGATCCAGGCACCTTTTGTGGGCTTGCCTCCTTTGATAGGAGAAGGAAGGTGCTATCTAAAATCCAGCCCAGATTGGAGCCAATTAAACATCTTTGAAGAACATTTGAGTACAAGCAAGTAACTCTTGTACTCACCCTTTGCCTAGATAGTTGATCAAGGACAAAAGGTGGATGCACAGCACCATCATTGGGCCAAAGGTTCATATTTAAAAGGAGAGAAGTAAATGCTGAGGGTGAGAATGCTTGGTGCCTGCTGTGTCCATTTGTGGCATGTGTACTTCCCAGCTTGTCCAGCCAGTCAGTAGAGCTTCTGTGAGAGAGAGGGGTCACGTCCTGGACTGCCAGTGAAATGGGCTGCTGTGCGTGGGCTGGGGTGACCCCAGTTCTGGGGGGTTGTGGAGTATAGTCGAGGGGAGCAGTAGAGCCCACGCTGCTTTATGGTGCCCCCTCCCGGTAAGCTTTGTGGCACTTAAAATTGGTTTGTGCCCCAACAATTTAGCCTCCTTAAATAATTACTTGTGAAACTTGCATACCTGCTGAAAAAGGCTTTCAAAATTAACTGGTGAGCTCAGAAAAAGACAGGGCCTAACTGTAAGGAAGAAGTTGAAGCTGGCTTTTGTACTGTTCAGGAGGTGAGCCATGACCCTGGGACTTACTAGTAGAGTCTGGCTTACATGTGCCTTTTCCTCGCTATAGCATAGTCTGAGGCGATCAGCTACAGCCACACTGCACGGTGTGTGGTTCACATTTGCCTTGTGCCGCAAGCTCCAAGACACAAAGAAGCCCAACAAAATACAGACAATTTCAAAGTTTCTGAAATAACAAAGCTGCAATCATGATTTCTATTTTAAAGTGATAATGGTGGGATGTGTTTTGTTCGGGTGAATGACACGGGAAAGTGCAAAGCCTCTTGAGAGAGAGAGTTGGAGAGCTGTCTGGCACAGAGGAGCAAAGTTGGTGCAGCCTGCTGCAGTGTTACATGCTTGGATCAGGCTTGGGAGCACATTATCCTGTCTGCTTCACTTGGATTTTCTTGAGAGAAGTCACTGCATTGTGGCCAGGTTTTGCTTTTGGAGTGAGCTAGTCTTTTTGTTTTGTTTCTGGCGGGGGGAACTGGGGCTGGGAGTGAAACAAGAAGCTACTCAAAGGTAACATAGCTGCTGTTGTGGTAGAAAGGGTCTATTCATAAAGGATAAGCCCAGTAGTGGAGCTGCCATGTCTTAACCCTGAGTTACATTACTTAGCATCATTTGGGTGCTGCTTTATTTCACTGTCTCTTGTAGCATTTATCTTAGACTTAATGGAGGTTCCTTTTCATGAGGGCTACCGTTTGATGAGTTGATGTAGTACTGAACACGGAATCAGGTTGCTGATTAGGACTTGTAGATACAGCAGTGAAAAAATGTAACTCACAGCAACATGTAGTAATATTTTTCTTTGCTGCTTCAGTTTAGGGAATTGATATCTGGGAACCTGATCAGGCTCTGTGACCTACACTTGGATACTTAGCCATCTCTTTGTTGACTTACTCTGTATAAGAGCCAGCTCTTCATCCTTTTTGTCCTTATTTTCCTCACACTGAAATGAGAGAGTGATATTGTATTGTAGGTGTTTCTGAAGGGTCTATTTAAATACCACAGAGTTAGTGCAGTGGTGGCTGTTGCATGCATCTTTAACATAAACGCATTGGTACAGGTGGTGAAGGGGGATGTTTTCAGCCTCTCTTGACCTGCAAAATTTGTGCCTGCCCAGCCCTTAAGGAAAAAAAAAAGTATAGCTGAGGACACTTGTGTAATGATGAATTTTACATTCCTGACAATATATGATGTTAAATAATTAATTACAAATGTTGCTTTGTCTTTTCAGTACATCAACTGTGGCAACCTGGAACAGCTATTAGACGGTAACCAGCATCTGCCCTGGACAGTGAGGGTGAAACTGGCATATGACATTGCTATGGGAATCAGATATCTTCACTATAAAGGCATTTTCCACCGAGACCTTACATCCAAGGTACCATTTAAAAAATTAAGGGCACTTCTTAATGAAGGTACTATAACCGATTGTTTGTTTCTTTCTCCTCATTCCAGCAGAGAGCTGCTATTATATAAGGTGTGATCTAAGACATTTTGAGAAAAATTGAAATACAGCTTATAGGATTAAAACTTTCTTCAAAACATGCTGATAGTTTGTATGGGAACTGGAGAAATAACTATCCTGAAGAAAGGTCATTCCTTAATTGAGTTCAGATTAGGATTTCTCAGAAAGCAGCTGCAGAGTTTTTTAGTTCTGAATTATGGTTCAGTAAAGTATTTAAATCCCTGGATAATTAAGCATAACAATCTAACATTTGGAACAGGTCAATCATATAAAGAACCCAAATTGAGGAGATTATTACAAAAGCACTTTAAAATCTCCTTGGTTTTGTTTCCCCATGTATTTCACAAATCTTCTTCAGTAGGAAGAGTGACCTTTCATTACTAATTCAGCACTAAGTGTTGTCCACAATCCTGGTTTATATTTCTTTCATTTCTAAAGTCAGTAAGATCAAAACAATTTACCTAAATTTTTCAAATTTCAGAATTTCCTCCAGAATGATATTTCAGTGGCAGAGTTTTCAGTGGACATAGACTTTTTTTGAACTGCTTTGGTGACAACTTGCATGAATTTAGTTGGCTGAAGTAGCTAGCTAATTCAAGCTCAGCTAGAAATATTGACATAGGAGCACTAAACTCTGTGAACAAATTGCTCCAGTATTCAGCTTGGGTCTTGCCATCCATTGCAGCCTGTGCTGAGGGCTTTGCTGTCCTGTCTGTCCTGTTGTCTGGAGCTAATGAGCTAGTTTAAACTGACTGGGGACTTGCAACATGAAAGTACTCCAAAACTGTTCTTGGGAAGACTTCATAATGTCACTTCAGTCAAAAGCATGCAGAAGAACATTATCTTAGCCCAAAAGGAACTAATTTTTAAGATTAGAAACAGCTTTTAAAAATAAAAACACAGTACAGTATGTTTGCAAATGCGAGTGCTTACTAGTCCTCCATCCAGTTTTAGGTTTTTTTAAAGCTACTTCAGTGCAGTGTTCAACAGATGAAGAATGTGCATTTAGCCAAGGGGGGGGAAAAAGTTCTACTGGTAGGTGAAAGAAGTATTTCAGTGAAGTCATAAAATACTTCCTGGGGTGTCCTTTCAAGTGAAAGGTGCTGAATTCTGCAAGGAACAATATAAAATTTATGAAAAATGCCCGGACTTGGAGTCATGTCACTTTGACATGACATACTCAGAAAGCTCCATTTCAGTAATCTTGGAGTGTGCAGATAAGAGATTCATTAAAAATAACTGAAAAGATAACTTGGCGTTCTCCCCCCACCCCTTTTTTTTTTTTTTTCCCCGGTTCAGGATGTATTTTAGTACATTTAAGAGTGGGGAAGTAGAGTTGCAAGGAATCAAAGTAAATAAGGAGAACTCTGTGCCTGCAGCATTTATCATAACATGTACTGTGACAGCTAGTCATATGAAAATCCATTTCCTGAGACCTCTGTGAATGCCTTTGTTCAAAGCTTTGCATAATTGTATGTCATCCTCTGGAGCTGCCCCACCATTACTTCAATGTTATCTATTGCTGAATGTCAGTTGTTTAGAGGACGCAGCCGCTGGGAGGAGTGCATGATTTCACTGCAACAGCAAACTCATTGGTGGCCAGAGGAAGCAGTAAGGGTTATTTAAAAACAAACAAACAACAAACCAAACCCTAAGAATTTACTAGCAGTTATGCTATATTTGGATGGTTCGTAGCGCTAAAGGTACAGCATCTGTGTGGATCACGTTGGAACCTGTCAGGATAAAAGTTTAAGTTATGTATTTTCCAGTTTCTTGGGGTTTTGAGGGGGTTTTTTTGGGTGTTTGGTTTTTTAATTTAACTTTAAAAATTTTTTGAGGTGATGTATGCATTTGCTTGTTCTGTTTGGGCGGGGAAGTAGAAGAAACACCTCGCTTTAAATGCCTGGGTACTTGTGAATTTTATTAGTGTATTATTTTATTGATGAAATACTTGAAATTATATCTGACGGGCAAATGACTCTACTTTGGGGCAAATGTTTGCCCTGCTGGCTGGCTAAATTTTAAAGAAGTCACTTTGTTCCAAAGCAAAAAAAAAAAAAAAAAAAAAAAAAAAAGTAATAATCATAGCAAAAACTTGTCGCCAAAATTTTCAACTCTCCGACTGCGGCTCCTGGCTACTGCTTGAGGAGATGCCTTATATTTTAGCAGGCTTGTACTGGTGGTGAGATGAGTCTTCTTCGTGCTTACTAGTAATAGTCAATGTGTGATCAAGCTGAAGGAAGATGTGATGGGCTCTTTCCTTTGGAAAGAACTTGTAACCTGGACTGAACAAGGGCAGATTCAATGCTGTTCTATATTGTCTGTCTTTCTTAGGTAAACTTCAGTAATTGATGCGATGGCTTTATTAATCAAATGAAGGCAAAGACAAGGATTTAGACATCTGTAAAAGGCAGAACATATACTGAGTTTGCAGGATGGGAGAGTGAGGTATTTTTCTAGGAAACTTGCTGTCCTTGACTGAACTATGAACAGAACGAAACAGAGACTTTCTGTGCAGGAATGTCTCCATGCTTTACCTATTAGACTTAACACAATAGCCTGCTGCAAATTACCCCTCTAATATAAATTTTACTGTAAAAATTATTTAGGATTAATTTAGACCCTTACTTCTGCCTTTCTTCTTCTGTTTCTGGCAAACCTCTAATTCCTGCAGCTTCCTGGAGTGGGTGGTGTGAATACATAAAGTTTATTCTGTTAGGTATGGCAGCAGAGTTGTCTTGCTCTGACAGCAGCATTATGTCTGTCTATGTACTGGATGCATAAAAACTTAAAGAAGGAAAAGTTCCTGTCCCCTGCCAATCTAAGACTGAAAAATAAGTGGTTTTGACAATTAGTATACATCAGGGTGATCTCTGCTCCTAATTACGCTATGTGGAGAGTAGCAGATCAGCATTGATACTGCAGAAAGCCAGAGGGAAGAACGGTAGAGTAGATGTAGGTCATTATAGTCGATGTGGCAGCCCACAGGGGATGTCAGCCCTGACATCCCACTGGTGCCCTTCCTGATGCCCTTCTGTCAAAGAGAGAGGCAGTGCTTGTTAGAAGCGAGTGTGCTGCCCAGTCAGCCAGTACTTACCCACCTTGTGAGCAGCTCAGTGCTTGGGCTCTGGGCTTGGACTGCTGTAGCTGATCAGGCTGATCTGCCCTGATCAGCAGCAGCCTAACTTGAATCTGTCGGAAGGGAAGAGTGGTTGGATTGGCTGTATCCAGCCTGCAGATAATAGGTGTGTGGGCAGGGTGACTTGTACGATCTGTAAGCCAATAAATGTGGTGTCCTCACTTTTGACTTGTCATAAAGAGATTTACACAGAGATTAAGCCATAGCTGGGTTATGACAACCAGGTTCATTGGCTCATTTCTTGTCCTCTATCCATATCACTGCAAGCCATGTGAATAGTTTTTTGTTTGGGGCTCGCTGTAATGTGCACAAGGAGGATTTGCATCCTGGAATCACAAGGATTTTTTTCATCTTTCAGTGATTCTCAAGGAGGTCTGGTTATGAATTAACTCTGACAGTCTTAGTCATAGAAGATGCAGTCGTTAAAACAGAAATCATAACGTGAGACATTGGAAGTGTTTCAGTAGGAGCCAGTGGATCGTGATAAAATTTTTCTTAATCTGACTTGTTTTTGCAATATTCTGTCTGTTGTTACCTACAATTAAAATAAGTGTTTGCAAAGGCACAGGGAAGAAGCATCCAGCCTGCAAAAAGAATATAGCAAAATCCTTTTGTACCCCACCCCTCAAAACAAGTATCTTACTGCTACACAGAGAGTTCCTTCAACACCTTGTTTACACTGTATTTGCATCGCATTCAAACCCTGCTCTGGAAGCGCTGTTGATTTCCTTGGCAACTTACACCAGTGGCTGCCACAATATCAGTGAATTTATTCTTACAGTATCTCTGAGATGAGGGAGATGAATAAATTTAGCCTTATCAGAACAGATTAAAAGCAAGAATATTGGTGACTATTTGGTATATGTTTTAAGACTTTCTTTGGAGTATTTGGCATTTTACGTATGTTTAAGTTCAAGGCAATATGTGCACTGACCTCAGGGGCAGTTGGAAGTGGTTACAGTACTTACAAAATAGTCAGGTTTGACCCCTGGAGGCAGGGAAAGCGCAAGATTAGCAACAGTCTCTGAAAGATTGTGTTAAACAAGTGTCCCTGTCACAGAATCCTCCTGTGATGCTGAGGAAGGCCAGAATCCAGATCCTGGGGCAACATTAGAATAGTCTTAACCACAAGACAGAAGATCTTCATTTCCAGCCCAGCCTGCCTTTTTCATCTCTTCCCAGCCTTTCTTTCATCCTACTGTTTCTGTGGCAAGAGCGGGCAGAGTCCTGAAAATAGTGGTCCAAGGGTTTATATACAGTCCCAATTCACTGTCAGCATGAATCCATTGCATGCGCTTAAAGACATGGGTGCCAGGTGGAAAACTGTGTGATCATTTAATTGAGGATTTTACCATAATGCATATGCATAAGTAGAAGAATGAATGTGCTCACAGGAAGTTTTACATCCTATCTTTTGTGCAATATTAATTTTTGATGTAGTGTATGCTGTGTGCAACTTCTTACCAATTTAAAAAAAAAGGAAAAAACAATGGCATTATGCACTTCATTTGCAGGGTTAGAAGCTTGAGATTCATGGCAGAGGTGTCTGCTGCTTTAGTTAATACAGTAACTAACACATGGAGTATTTTTAATTAGTATTTATTGCTACTGTTAATTGGTATTACTAATACAGATTGCCTGTTTTTGCTATGGAGCAGGAATAGACAGAGGAAAAAGAGAGACTCCTTGGTAATAAGAAGTGAACATCTAGGAGTCTGTCCATTTTTCCAAGACCAATCATATCTACTCTGTGACTATCCAATCCTTTCTGCTA